ACCAAATCAATAGTCAGCCATTATGGTTCAGTAGAGGCTATGGCACTGCTATCCCCATTATGGACTTGAGTTACATCCTGTTCCTTGGTGTGCACAATGCTGAAGAAAGTATTTAATAGATTTGCCTTCTCTTCGTCCCCACTTACCAACTCTGAGTTATCTTTTAAGGGGCCTACATGCTCAGACCTGATTTTGTTTACTGTTAATATATTGAAATAATTTTTTGGGGTTAATCTTGCAATCTTTTGCCACCTTCAGTTAAAATGCAGGAGTGCACTTCTGGTCCTGCTCTGTAAGTAATGACGTTGAAATTCATGGAACTGGCAGAATGGCAAGGGGAAATGGCTTGGGGAGGGGGGTGGTGTGGGGGTCAGTCGAACAGCTCGGACAAAGCTTGCGGGAGTGAGGAATAAGATAAGTAGGGAATGGGTGAATCTGCCTAGGCTTCAGTATTGTTTGAAATCTGTAAAACCCGAACTCAGCAGGAAACTGCATTAAAGTCTTTGTAAGGAAGGAGGCAAATCTTTAAAATACATTCTGGCCATTTTCAAGGGTATAAGGCAAGCTATTATTCAAAAAAGGGCATGAAGAGCTGGGCATGAAGAGCTGAGGACTCACACAAAAAATACAGTGCAGCTGAGAAAGGGTCCTTTTAGGGGTGGGGGTCACTTCAAAGGTAAATTTTAGGATGACGATCATGAACCTAAAAGTATATGGCTCCTTTTGGCATCACTCTGCAGAATGTTAAGTTTATCTTGCTTCTCAAGCCAACATCATAGAAGCTTTCAATTTTATATCTTGCACTGATGAAAGCAAACTTATTTTAGCTTTATAAATGGATAAATATTTGTACAAACATGCTATATATGGGCTATAAACGAGAGCTTTGTGATTTACAGTGGCATATAATAATATGAGTGTAGGATCAAGCTTGACAATGAAAGCAGCATGTCCTCTTTTCTTCACCAGCATTCTTCAACATCACTGCTACTCGCAGGGTTGTGTTTAAATGTCGTATTTCACTATCCTCAGGTTTTACCATTATGACATATCATAAAAGTTAGTCCACATTATCTGAACAGTCAGACTACAGTCCCTCAAAATCTCCTATCTGCAGAGCTTACAGACCCATGCCTTTGCATATGTCACAAACCCAAACCGAAAGCTGAATAATCGATATTAAAGCAGAAAAAGCCTTTTTGGCTATACTCTAGCTTTTTATTATATCATGTAGGCTGAATATTTATATAACTGTGCCCTTATTTCTGTGAAGCTTTGAAGATTGTTGTTTTATATGACTTATAAAATACATTACATATTGCTCAACTAAAAAGTGTATGACTTACTTTCTTTCAGTCTCTGGCGTGGATACAGCACTGTTAAATTCAAAAGAATCCTAAAATGGCAAGAAAATGGGAATTTACTCAATATGTCACAGAAGAGGGGGAACAAAAAAACAGGAATCGCAAGGGAAACAACCATAGGGAGAAAGATGAAAATAATCAGTTGTTGTACGTACATCAGTTTGGGAGCGCAGCTGTAATGAGGTGGAGCCAGCATCAGATTTCTCCTAAAACAGAACATATGCGAGTCAGTCATGAGAAATCAAGAAACGTGGCACATTACAATGAGCAAAAACATCTTATGAAGATAAATTGGCATAGGTAATGTACATGAATACAGGAAATCAGAATTGTAATGATGTTCAAAAGAAAAGAATGACTCCAGTCTCCATTATTTTTTTCAGACTAAGTGCATATAATAGTTTGCATCATAACTAATAATCAAGATACTACTACATGGCAGAACCCACCTGTTTTCAACTGTCATTAGTGTAAAGATTTTAAAGTTGCCTCACTTGTATCAAAAACAACCATCATATGATGCTTTGATTATGTTATAAAGGAGACATTCCCATGAATAATAAAAGAAGTGTAACAGACATCAAAGGGAGTTGCTGACCACAGAGGAGAAGAGGTGCAAAATCATACTACGCTTGATAAAGAGCACAACATACAGTTAAGCCAGGTATACAAGCTTCGAATTGTATCCGTTTCTTGATGAACTGGCCGTAATTTGATGCGTGGGTGCAGGAGGTTGGCAACTTTCTGACCGGCATCCTTCGATCAGCTGATTAAAGGAGCATGTTGGAAAATTGTCGGCTAAACAGAGCTAGCAGCCAATGAGCCGCCAGCTCTGTTCAGGTATTCTGACAGCAGCCAGTGGAAACTGCAGGAGGAAACAGCGGGAGATTTCTCAATTAACGCTTGTATGCATTGATGGAGGGATCAGTTCCATTTTCTTTGTTCGTCTGGTAGGTTGAACGAAGAAAAGAGAAGCGTATATATGCATTTAGGCAACAAGAAGTCCTTGTGGCTGACAAACACAGATTTCCATGAGGACACTTCTACATAAACTTGCGCCATTGTAGCATGATGAGAATGTCTGCAACATAAAACATTTTCTGTACAGGTGGATAAGTACCAGGGGTCACAAATATCAGGTGCTTATAATAAACAAAGAAGGGAGTAAGTTAACCTGTAATACAGAAAACCTCCTCTACCACCACCTTTGGCTTAAAGGATAACTTTCACTGAGCATTGTACATTTGTGCTTGCCCCTGCAGTTTATGTAAAATATACCAATATGATGGGTTAGCATTAATGAAAATAAATCCTGTATCTAGTAGCATACCCTGACTTTGTGTTTACATTACTTTTTGTTTTAAACAATCTGTTCCTTTACTACCCCTAGAGGGTGTTGTCTAATCATGCAGACCTGCAGATTTTTTTACAGCAGTTCCCAACCTGGGGTACATGGAAGCATGTATAGGGGTATGCAAAAGAAAAGGAATGATGCTACCCAACGATCCAGCATCACTGCTTCCTAGATGCTGGCGGTTAGGCTGCACAGTCTCATGCATTTCCATAGTGCGGACAGCCTAGCCCTACAGTGTCATTGGATGTTATGGTGATGGCAGATGGCTCACACCATGCTAATGCATGGCACTGTTTCAGGGGTGGCATCAGTGTCACTTCCGGAAGCTCTTCGCACCTTCTCTAGCTGTCTACTGCTTTTTTCCCCACTCTTCTCACTGTCCCAGTGCCCACTCTGTGCAAGGATTTTTTGCCTACACAGGTGAAGGTGAAATATTCTGCCCCCCGCCACAATGCCACCCCA